TTTTGTTCTTTTCCTGCTGTTGCTTCCTAAACGTCTGCGTCTATATCGTTGATGTAAGCTCAGCGGTGGGCCATGTTTGTTTCTCTTTCTCACCGGTCCTTTTCTCTCCTGCATAAAGAGTTGTGCGCGAGATGAAAGCAAACACTTTTTTTCTTCCTTCTTGGGTTTGGTGGGTGGTGGCGTTGTGCGGGATGGGGTGAGAGGGGTGCCGTGGAAACATAACCAGAAACCACAGGAGCCCCTTGTCTCGCTCGCTGGGCGGAACAAATAGACGACCACGAGGTCACACACTCGGCGGCCGGCCGCGGAGGCACTGGCCCCGGCTATCTCTGGCTTTCTTTTTTTCGTTTTTTTTTGCCCCCTACAGTCGGCCGTCTGCCTTTGTCTTTCATCGGCTCGTTAGCAAATAAAGCAGACCCAATAAGCCAGGGGGGGACGATGTCCAATCGGTCCTCGGCGACGGCGCCTGCTCGCGAAGCGCAGCAGAGGTTCGCCAATCGATGGCTCCGACGATATGCTTTCATTAATCTCAACGAGTGGCGGCTCACTCGTAGGGAGCGGACTCTCTTTCATCCCGGGTTCGCTCTTTTTAGTCTCCCTTTTTTTTTGTTCCCCTTTTAGCCAGCGCTCAGCCTTTCTGGCCTGTAGCCCACTCTGCACCGTACGGCCCCTCTCCTGTCGTCGCACGTGGTCATTGTTGTTGTTGCTGATGGTCTCCCCCCATTATGCGCTGCTGTCGTTGCTGCCTGCGCGTTAATGCTCACAGCCGGCGCTCTCCTTTTCGCGGGATCTTGTCGCAGCAAACTTACTCTCACGTGCATACACCGGTAACGACACGGTTGAAATATCAGCGAGACCTTTCGTATCGAGTGGGAAACGAGTCCTCGCAAGAGCGCCGGTTCTCAACAATCTGCTTTTATTATCGGTGCAACTAACTATACGCGAGAGCCTCGCAGAGCCTCGTTATTATCACCAATTGGCGTAAGCTTCATTCCTACTGAAACTAACCAAGGTAATGCCTGCTACGGTACATCACTAATTAGTTGGATCGTTTAGTAAAATATCCATTTTGAACTCACGTTCTTTCGTTGGTTTCTATCCCTGGTTAGCTTACTGCAGATTTCAAGGGCGTCAGTGCGAACACAGCTCAGGTATAACGAAAGACCAAGAAAAAGAAAACTTTCGGCTTGATTTCTCACTTTCTCCCGTGCTCTCAGAATCATTGTTCATTTCCAAAGTTTTCGTTATGGGCATCCTTATTAGCTTGGCTAGCGGCTGCATTGAAGCGAGTAGAGCAAGGTATCAACGAGACATTGATTCAACCGCTACATCCCTACTTCAATTTACAACATGCTAACATCATTTGTATCTTCCCTAAAAAAAGTCCGCGCCTATCCAAATCTGTGCGTTAGAAGTCTCTTGCATTTAACACTTTGCACACGGATATTGGCACCCCGGAAGGCACCTGCCGGAATGCATCTGTTCATCGAGATACATTGCCGATTGTGCATTTACTCATTACATAGCCTTCTTTTTTTTCTGATTTCCAACTCGGAAAAAGACCGATTCATGCATTTTTTCTGCTTAGATTAAATGACCGCATGTGCCAAGTGAGAATAATGAGATATCTGTAATTGTATACTGCAAAGAGCAGCTGGCGTCTTTCCAATCAGGTCGCATGATGCCTTGAAGCTCTCGTATATCCCAACTTTTCTTCGTACGTGATGCTCACGCAACGCATACCAGATTTCGCGCTGTGAGATCAAGGATCACATAAATTGCAGAACACTATCCCTGGTGTATACGCCCGCACACACAGGTGCACGCTAAGCACTTCACGTACGAACATACGTTTTAAATTTGTAGTGATTCTTAGCGAACCAAATCCACTTCAGATCTATCTATCTATCTATCTATCTATCTATCTATCTATCTATCTGTCTGTCTATCTAACTATCTATCTATCTATCTATCTATCTATCTATCTATCTGTCTGTCTGTCTGTCTGTCTGTCTGTCTGTCGTCTGTCTGTCTGTCGTCTGTCTGTCTGTCTGTCTGTCTGTCTGTCGTCTGTCTGTCTGTCTGTCTGTCTGTCTGTCTGTCTGTCTGTCTGTCTGTCTGTCTGTCTGTCTGTCTGTCTGTCTGTCTGTCTGTGTAAGACACATTGACTCAATTCACATAAAAAACAGTAAGGCCTGCGTGCAACACGCAGTTCAGTCAAAGCGAAAGCTAGAAGAACGGCGTTTCAGAGCTTTTTTTAGCCCTCTTCAGGCAACTGCTACAAGCGCACTTACAGGATGCCCACTACATCATAAATCAACATAATTTCCGTGTAGTGTGGAGGCATTCAATGTGCCATTCTTCGCCATTCTTCAGAGAACAGTGCCATTGTACCCGCTACGCACTTGCAAAGAATTTCATGCAATTTTTCGATGCTATGGCTGATGACAATGAATAATTATGTCTAGAAAAATATCAATGTAATTTAAGTATGGGTTGGAGCATTCAATGACGCATCGGTTTGCGATTCGCATTGTTTAACACCTGGTTGTTCCTTGGCTGTTCTAAAACAATTTATTACTCATGCCAACGCGATTCCTTCTTCCGACATCAAGCCTGCCATTAGGGACAGTTTGCGACGTTGTTTCAAGCAGTGGGGTGGCTTACTGGTATTACACTTCATTGGCACGAAGGGGCCCCGCGTCCGAATCCCACCGTGTCCTTTGTGATGGTTATTACCTTGAAGTTTTTCTCTTATTTCGCCAGATAGTGCTTACTGACACCGGTGGCGGCTGCAAACTATACGGCCCACGCGACCCTTGTTGTGATTTCATAACAACTTTCACCGTGAAATACGTGTCAAACATTTCGTAGCGCTTGGTTCAAATACAAATAATGCGGTGTAGGTCACTATACTCGCTGGCTGCATTGTGCTAAATCGATTCCCACAATGCGTGGCAGCTGTCGCATGTTTCCGTGTACTGTAGCTAATGCAGCATTTTCTCGCCCTGATGGAAACGCTTTTGTATCCGCAGTATCTCATGCGAGCCAATTTTATTGAAGAACATTTATGACATCATCATAGCACGGGTTTCGCATTTCTTTCTATCCATATGCATGCACTGCCTTCATCGAGTCGTGCTTGTGTCGATAGCAAGTAAGCAGGAAAGATGCTCAATAATACATCCTCTGACTTGAACTTATTTTCAGCACCAGATCCTTTAGGCATGGTATGGCCCTCGGCTAGGAAGCGCTACTGTATGCCTAAATTTATTACTTACTGCTCTCAACAAAATTATTGTTCCCTACATTAAGCAGCCCCATCTCCTGTTCATCGGAGGGGCAAATTGAATGCGTGCACTATTTATTTTGTGTGTCGACCCGTCCAACAGCAAAAACCTCATAAACGCACACAACTACTTGTACACTGCACAACGCGGCACGGCAGTAGTTGCCGCAGCACTTGACTCCGGCATGAACAAAAAATAAAAGAAAAATTTTGCCTATGTTTTGTTTCCTACATTCGCACAAATTTTTTCCTACACACTTTACACCACTCTTTCGCGAAAAACAGTCTCAAGCAGTTGGCGCAGCAAAAACAAAGCAATTTTACGTGCCATTCAAGCTGTTAATGAGGCCGGAGTGTTTATTCGGAAGATTACGTCCTAGTTTAACCTCGATATCAGTCTACGATGACCCAACGTATGTAGGTTAGCTTGCTAAATTAAACGGCAAACGCTGCTCCTTCTTAGCAAACATTTTTACTACATTTGCCATTTCTCTTTTATTGCAGTCGTCAAAGCTTTGTGTTATTGGCGAACGCCACAGATAACTATACAAAGCATGATGCAGTTTTACCAAAATCTAACGCACGCACTAAACTCAAATACATGAACCAGAACAAAGAAAACCTCAACGCGAGCGGTGACTCAATTTCTTGAGCCAAGAAAGAGTTTTCTCGCAAGCGTGCCGCGAAGCATTCCAAACGATTTTCTTTCGTGTGAAGCAATCCAAGAAAACAGTACGCGAAGTGAACAGCACAATGCCAGAAACGTTCGGTTAAAGCTTCAATGACAAATGCAATACGCACTTAACATAGTATTCATGCTGTTCATTCCTAGCAGCACCAGACTGAGAGGCAGACGAAACAAGTGAAGACCACGATGCACGCCGGACACGTTATCCCACATCTTATATGGCGTCTCCCTGCTGCTGTCCGTACTTCTTCGTTGCTTTAAATGCTTATGAACATGGAGCGTGACGACAACGCTGTCACGTCAACGCCATGTGCACTTCTTTCGCATCCGATTTATGCCAGATCCCAGCCCGACGATATCACACCGTACAATCACAGACGATAAAGACAGATTCAGGCCACAATCACAGTCGCAAAAACACGTATACGTATATTGCACTTGAATAGGTACTGTAGTAAATAACTAGTACGCGTGTTTCCTTAAAGCAGTCAGTTATGTGTTCCCATCCTATAGCCGACGTGAAACTGCATAGCACCGCCGCTTTTGACCAGAGTGACCACTCTTGTAATTTTTATGTTACTCTATGCACATTCCATTTTCCAAAGCAGGAATGGCCGGTGGAAGACATCGAACGAGCGGCCTTTTCTGTTCAACTGCGATAAGATACAGCTGCTCGCAACTTCAGCGAAAAAAACCCCCAAAATATCATATCGTGCATAGCCACATCTATACCGATAAGCAATGACTAAGCGTTTCTTTAAGATGTGGCCTTTCCGATGAGCCCCAAGCAAGATGGGCTGCTTCACGGTTGTTCGCCTGCCGCTCCTACTTCGGAAAGCGGAGTGTGCTTGTCTATCTCGTTATCGGCGCGCTTAGAAAAATCGCAGCGCCACGTGTTGCAATTTGGCCATTCCGGCCACTGTTCACTTGTGCTAATTTTTGTTCGTTTAGTCCTGTACATTCTCGCAGAAGTGTAGCTAACATGAAGAGCATGACACTAGACGTTTTGGGACTAAGCCTTAGCCGGGTAGAAAGAAAAGCGCCGATGTTAATCATGCTGCACGTGTAATATTCATGCAGTCATGCATTCAATGTCCTTGTTCAACGTCGTTGTTTGCTAGCGGTGAATATGTTTGCGAGTTCCATTTACGTTAGCACGCCCAGAAAATGGCAATGCTAACATTTTTTTTTCCTGCCCTGAACTGCAGATGCTCCGGTGTGCAAGCAGGACTCGGCGGTGGTGTACGTGGGCTCGCGCGGCGACGAGGTGCAAGTAGTGTGCGAGGTCCTAGCCCATCCGGACCTGGTGTCCTTCCAGTGGAGCTTCGACGGCGGCGGCGAAGGCGGAAGTCGGGCGATTCATTCGGGCTTCAGCGGCGACCATGCCACGCTGTCGAGCGTCATGCGCTACATGCCGCTCACGGAGGCCGACTTCGGGACGCTGTTCTGCCGCGCCAACAACAGCGCCGGCCACCAGCGGCGACCGTGCGTCTTTCACATCGTGCAAGCCAGTGAGTGCACTATGAGCTCTTCCACCGCTAGGCCTTCTTTGGTGTGTGACAGCATTGTTGGCCTAACTGACCGAAATCAAGTGACTTTGGCTCGTAGTAGTCATCTTTTACTCAACATTGGCCTACACTAATACCCTGTATGGTACGATAGTTTGCTGCGGTAACTGCACTGCTCTGCTTTCTATTCGGTGAGCATTAGTCCATCCGTCATGGACAAAAAACATCGGGCGGCTATGCGCTATAAGGAATTGGGAAAGTACTACTATCGGGTATACAGCATGTGTGAGTTTAAAAGAACACTCCGCTTGATCGAAGTGGAAGGGTAGAACCAAAGAAGGGGCACGGGACATAAGAAGCATACAAGAGGAAATAATAAATAAATAAAATGAAATCAAACCTTTTTGCGATGACAAACAGCGCTGGTCGTGTACAAAAACCATCATCAGTCACTAATAGCGCATCAACTCGGCTGGAACGTGCTCTCCTCGTCCTCTTCTTCATATTCTGTTTCGCTCCCAGAACACGTGCGCGTATTCGTCAGCTTGACGTGCAATAGGTAGTTACAGTTTAGCGTGATAACGCGTGTTAAGAGAATACCATTACCATTCCTAAAACGTTTTTTGTGGACATCGTGTTTTAGTTCAGTGGGATAACGTTTGCGTACCCAAGCTGTGATGATGGCGTCACCTAGGAGAGGGTAAATGCACTATAATAAGTGAGAAAAAAAACACTAAGAGTGCTCACCAGTCTAACCGACTAAACAATAATATTGCTACTTTCTTTAGTAACAATAAAAGTAAAGAAATGTGAATTACGCACGGAAAGCGTTTTTTTTATTTTGCAGGTTTGTTTATTCATACATTCTACTCCACTCAGGAGCGTTCGAAATGGAAAGTGATCTCAGAAAGCACGTTAGAATTATCCGTAACACTTGGTCGTCGAGGCCGGCGAAGCCATTTTACATATTCCTTTGCCATGAAAGAGGATCCGTTCACATCAATGCGAAATTCAGTTCGAAGCGGGTGTCCGAAATCCACCATGTTTCACGTACACTATAGGTATACACTGGTTAACCACGCAAAAGCGGTAACGCTAAATCTAAAAAAAAAATTAGCGTGCATGTGGTAAGCGCCACGTGTTATTTAGCGCATTGCGCAAGTGCATTTCTATCCCGCCTTTCCGGTGAGCCCGGCCCGCTAAACTAATGCTGTCTGAAAACTCGGTGGGCGAGAAAACGAGAACCGAGAAAGAGAAAAGAAGGGAGAGACAGAGAAATGAGGAAAATGAAGATGCAGAAAGACAGAGAAATAGAAATATCCACCAGAAAAATATATTGAAAAGATAGAACAAGATAGAAACAAAGAAAGAGAGAGAGATAGTGAGAGAAGATATGCAAGCGAGAAATATAGAAAGCCAAAACGAAATTGAAGAAAGCACGCAAACAAAGAAAGAAATAGAAACGAAGCAGGCCGCCCAGCGTCACTCTTGCTTAAGGCTTGCGTAGCTGAACTCGTTTTACCAGAATCTGCAAGGAATATCTCCTAGCACCTTCCACTTGCGCCACTGCCTCCCAAGGGGGCATTCGTGTCGCTGGTGCAGCGCGTTGGCTGCTCAGCTCTGGCACTATTTTATTACGAATCATCTTCTTTGGAAGCGTTTATCAGTCTACGTATACTACAAGTTTACGCCAGTCGGCTTCAATATTTACCTTTCAATGAATGCCTATCCGCAAGGAGAAAAAAGTGGGAAAATGCCGCGTCCTTAACTCCCATCCTTGTCCATCCTTGTATATATATATATAAATATATATATATATATATATATATATATATATATATATATATATATATATATATATATATGTGTGTGTGTGTGTGTGTGTGTGTGTGTGTGTGTGTGTGTGTGTTTGACAGCGTTATTCAAAACAGGTGCAAAAGTATGTCGTGTTTTTGTTAGAATAATCCTCCAGCAGCGGTTCAAAGAAATGAAGGATGATTTTTGATCGAATCTGACGCATGTGGGTAAACACAGCGTGTTTGTACAGCTCTTGTAACATGGGGACAGTACAGTGAGGAAACTCGTAGAGGCAGCAGGACCATTCATCCTCGTAGTGGTAAAGTGGCGTCATTGAGGCGCCTACCAAATCACTTATACGTAACAGAATATATAGCATTTTTTAAGTCATTGTGGTAAGCATATAAGACCACAATTATTAGGCCTTCTCAGAGTTACTTTTCTCGGGGGTATACCTGTATTTTAGAGAAACAGAGGAGAGCTGAGCTTCTGGGTAGCTTTTCGTGTCCTGCATAGGTAACTCTATACTTACACATCATGCGCCGAAGTTATGAAGATTTGTGCCCGTGAGTGCTGTTTGAGCACTGGCCAGCCGGTTTTGAGAATAACTTGCGTTTATTCCCAGCATCAAAATTAGCTCCTCTTGCGAGCAATCTTCGCGACCCAAGTTATAGTTCTTTGTGTTTATCAAGAAGCTTTGGTGAATGTCTACCGAAAATTTGGCGTTGATCTGATAAGGTCTAATGAGTTCTATACTTTTGATCAGTAAAACTTGTTTTTCTCTTTGCTAGGTCTTCATTATTCAACAGAAGGTCATAGCTACTGCGTTGCTTTTCAACAGTGTCGATATTCATAAAAACGTTTTGCCATAGAGTTTTTTAAAGAGAAAAGTCTATCAGTTTAGGAATTCTGATTCTTAACGTATTATTTGTTAGCTGATTGGGGCACAAACGCAAGAGTAGGTTTCTGAATTCGGTCCCTCTACTTAGATAAGCTTTTCTGATGTTGTTGTATGGGGCACTGAATGTTTGTCAATGTTTATTATTTCCTTTTCCATCCTCGTGAGTTCTGTTTGCTGCAGGCGGAAATGTTGTAGGCCCGTGTGCTCAGATTTGGGTGCACATTAAAGAACCCCAGGTGGTCTAAATTTCCGGAGCCCTCCACTATGGCGTCTCTAATAATCATATGGTGGTTTCGGGACGTTAAACCCCACATATCAAATCAGTTCTGTTTGCTGCATATGTGGAAAACGTAAACTTCATGACTGAGTGCAAGTCCACGTCAGCGGTACTTCGCGATTTCGGCTTTCAGAATAAACCATACTTTACATGCGCAAAGCGGAGTAGAACGGATATGGCTCTGTACATTGTTCACAGCAAGGTATCACTTCCCATGAAGACAGGGGCGTCATTACGTTTTTAATTTTTGTTTAGACTTCCCCATGATTTTATAGCCTTTCAGTGGGAATATTGAACACCTAATTGCGTAGGCATATGCAGGCAAAATTGATGGAGATAGCACGTGAATCTTCCCTGAAAAGCGACCCTTGGTTTAGTCTTCATCAAATGAAGTGGTTTGCTCCTGGCGTAGCAATTTAATTTTCCTGCCTTATTCGTGCACCCCGCTGCCCTCGGGACCAACGTGCACAATATCGAGTGGACTACGTTTCTGAAGTTCATATTTCCGTTTATGACTAACTCGGACGAGGAAAATTTGCACACGACTAATTAATGTTCTCCTCGCGTAAAAGTGAAACGCACACTCTTTATGAACGAAAGCGTTGAGGCGCAATAGCATTATGCGACGCTAGGGCAGGCAGAGAAGAACAAAAGAAAGAAATAATAAAACTATCCCTCATCAAGTGTTCCTGCTGAATTAGAGATAATGGGAAACGAGACAGAAACAAAAAGGAACATAAAACTGGTTGGCTTTCAAAAACAAATGCCGGTAATATTCACTTCACAGCCACCGTTTGCTCCATGTGTCTTGAGTTACGCTTCCTACGTTCTTTCATAAATGAGGTGTATGTGAATTTATTTATGGTCATCCGGAAGCGCCGGTGAGTGGATGCCTGGCCATTCAGCTGACAGGCTGATGTCGTCTACCCCTTATTTCTGGTACACTCTAATTTGTTAATATTGCGTGTCATTTTTTGTTGCGTCACACGCTGTTTGTTTCTTTCTTACTATCTCCTCGAACTTCATTGTTATCCTCCGAGCTTATGCTTCATATGTCAGTGCTCAGAATATACTATACACTGCTTTAGGGACAATAATAAATTTCCTGTAATTCTTTAGGAATCACTGCCTCGTTCGAAGCCATTCTATGGTGATTTTTTTTAACGTGACAGTGTTAAAAGAGCTTGTTTCGCAGAAATTCTGTTGTCGGCAGCCATGTCAGCATTGTTGGTGCTGAGCGAAAAGTCATGATCTTGCGCGTTACTGAAAAATTGAGCGAAATGCAATGAAATAACAAATTCTCAGTCTGAGTGGGATTGAACCCGGGTCAGTTTGCGTGGCAAGCAGGTGTTCTTGGAATTAGAGCGAAAAAACTTTCTCGAAATACAACCTTCTCATAGAACTACTCGACTTATGTGTCATCCTTGTATGTTATCCTTGCGCTGTTTTAGGTTGTATCTACTATTTAAAATCAAGAGGGGAGCCGACAGATGGAAATACGTAATGGGGTAATAAGGGTGAACGGGAAAGTGGCTCAGACTTGCTGACCGACGTTTCAACAGGAACTATCTTTGACAAAGCCTTTGACAAAAATAGGTCCTTCTATTGAAACGTCGGCCAGCCCGTCTGAGGCGCTTCCACTGTTGACCCTCATTACTCCCCTATCTACTATTTAGTTTCATCATGATACATGCTACCCTTTCATTGATGCTATAAAATTATTCAAGTTACACGCAAGGTCTGTGTAGATCAGAAACACTCCACAATGTTGTTGCTTCTCAGAAAGCCCTATCTGAGAGGGCGCCCAGGGAGCGAGATTTATTATTCAGCGAAGAATGTATTTTTTTTGTAATTGCACCTGGGAGATCTAGACGTCGCCTCTGTTCTGTCCTGAAGGGCTTGCTATGGAGAGGTTGGAGTTTGTATAGCAACTGGGATGCTCCATTTCTCTGGCGTTACGCTGAAAAAAATTGAGAAAAGTGGATGGTTGCCCAAAAACATTGATGAACAAACAAACATGTCACCAGA